AAAGGCTCGGCTCTGCCACCTGTCTGGAGAACTTGCATCCACCAATGGAGATCCGCCAATGCCTTGCGACTGAGGCGCACTGGGGAGCTCCAGCTCTATTTGTTCCGTAGACTGGAGAAGTGCTCGCGCAGCAAAAATTGGGCTGGGGCAATCGCCGGGGCCAAGGCGTTCGCCTTGCTGCAGAACTGGGCCACCTTTCTGGCCGTGACCAATCATGCATTCAAGCTGCTGTTGACGATGATGTCCTTCGCCAACTGTTGGAGGACTTTCAAAGAGTCCGGCGGGCAAAGGAACATGGCCCGCCATGAGTCCACAACCAGGCCAAGGTGAACCTTCAAAGTCACTTGTTCCCAGACGGATTTGGAGTCTTTGATTTCCAACCCTAAGTCGCTTAGGAGCGCCCTCACTAGGACACCCCATGCTCGCAAGTTCCGCCTGTCACTTCTTGCCCTTAGGAAGTCGTCCAAATAGGGCAGGATTTTGATGAAGTAGTTCGCCTCCCACAATTGGCGAAGGGAGGGGAAATTCAAGGGAGGACATGATATGTTGTTCTGCGGTGCTCTGAGGAAGGCGACTAATGGCTGGAGTAGTTTTGTGAAGTAAAAAGGACTCCCGCACCACCCGAAGGAAAGGGTGGGCACCTTCCAATACTCGCCATTCACTTGAATTGTCACATATTTGATGAGGTCCGATTGTAGTCTCAGATGCATGTAAGCGTCTCGGAAATCCCAAGCAATCATCCAACTCTCGGGTTCCATCCAGACGGAGAGTGTCGCCAGCGTCTTGAAATGGGTTGTCGGCACCCGACAATGTGCGTTGAGATGGCGGAGGTCGATCACTAAGTGACAACCCCCGTCCCGTTTTGGTATTAGAAAGGCTCTGCTGATGTAATCCTAGCATGTTGCTGGTCTGAGGGCCCCAACTCGGATGTAGCTTAGTAGAATCTAGTCTTCTAAAGCCGTCTGATATTCCCCTTGCATGACATAATTCTCGTGATGGAACGGTCTCGGTGGTCCGGACTGCCATGAGATTGGGACACCGTTCTGGATCCAGCTCAGAACCTGAAGGACCGATGTCATCCATCTCCATACTAGTAGGGCTGCCCGGACTCGACACGCCGGGAAGTCTCTTGGGTTAAAATTGTATTTGCGGTACAGGGACCGCAATTGTCGGTATCGGGTGCGCAACAGTACCGAATGTCCAGCGTGACTGGGCATTGATTGAAGTCATGGCACCTACCAAAGATGACGCGCCAGGGATGCCCCACACGCCTGACGTGCCCGCTACCCAACGACCTGCCCTGCGTTGCCAGTTATGCTGTCCCTGCATTCTCGCGAGGCCGGTATCCAAGGGGGGGCTAGGCGTTGGCCCCTTTGAAGTGAAGCAGCGAAAATAGTGGCGACACAGCGAGGTGCACAGGCTTACAGCAACAGTGCGACCTCGGCTGTGGTGAGAGCATGCTTGGTTTTTGACGCCATAAAATTGATCGTATTTACGTTTTTACGTGTAAAAATAATTTTTACGTTTTTACATGTAAAAATGCGTAAAAATACGTAAATACAACATAAAAACTGGTTGGTGTACATAAGGACAGCACATGCAAACTTACAGAGTCCGGAGAGTGGCAGCCAGACGCTTCGGAAGAGGCAGAAGCCAAGTTTTTGTTGAACGTCATTATCGCCCTTGCCAAGGGCGAGGAGGACATTGTGTTGTGGGTGCTGCAGATGGCAGAGGACTGATCATTATAGGCAACTTTTGTCGTGTAACCTACGTGTGCCAGGGAGCCATAAAAAGGTAAAAATAGCCGCAAAATAAGCCCTTTTGCAAATTTACGTTTTTATGTGTAAAAACGTAAAAGTAAAAACGTAAACATAAACGTAAAAACCAAGCCTGGGTGAGAGTGAGAAGGTGTCCATTGAATGACGGGATGCCAAGACCAGATGGCGTGAGTGTCCTTCACAAATCGTCCCGCCCTGGCCTATCTGTTCAATTTAAACTCTTTTTACTGATCGTAAAGGCCACGTCCTGCGCGCCCTTGTTTCCCATTACGCTGTGGGAAATACTCCGTTGGGGGCAAAGGCGCGTGTCAGAGTGGCACGCGGATTTTTGCGACATTGCGTTACATCCCAGTGCTTGGGGATTCGGCAGCATGTGTTGGTGGAAAATGATGCTGTCCGCCACAACGGCATCAACATGGTGGAGGAGGGTGATAATTGAGGCTCTTCATCGTGGCTGGGGACTGCCTTGGGTATATCATGGAAGATAGCCCGAAACTTGGTAAGCTCCAACTGGGCATCTGGAAATTCCGCTCACATCGCCCCGTTCCGTGTGCCATAGCGACGCGATGCCATTTGGCGTTGATATATGAGAATGAGTCATTGGAATTGGAGGGAACCTTCTGTCTGACAATGGTCACTGCACGCCTGTCAGGAGCTGCGAAGGGCCCCTAGGGGCGTGGGGACGGGCAGGGGCGTGGCCAAGAAGGTCAAGAAAAGCAGCGATCGAAAGGTGACCAACCGCAAGCGGGCGGCGGCAAGCGGGAGGACAAGCACAAGAGGCCTCGCGCCTGGTGTGTGGGCGGGCGGGGCGTGGAGGGCCGCGCTGCAGCCGCTACCGCGCTTGCCGATCTGGCGCTTCGCGGCGTGGCACCTGACCCTCGCGGCGCGGCTAGCCACGGCCCGGACGCCCAGACTCTGTGCGCGCCGATCCATCCGTCGATCACGGGGAAGCCACAACATCCGCGCCATGCGCCCCGGGGGGCGGGCTGCTCCAAAACGGCATCCACTGAAACATCCATCCCAAGTCGAACATCCGCAGCACATTGTTGCGCGTTCCCTATCGGCCAGACTCACCTCTGATGTGGATTTCAGCTCCATACCCGACGACTGGGCAGCACACGCGGGCGGGAGCCCCTGGCGGGAGGACCCCTCCCCGGGGCCCGACTGGCTGTGGTCGATGCGGCGCACGGATCCAGTCGCCGGGGGCGCCTACCTGGCCGGGGTCGGCGAGCCGAGGGGCGACCCCGGGTCGCCAGAATCGTCACCTGCGGCCTGCAAGTTGGCGGGGAAGCTCGCCTGGAGGCCAGGGGAGCCGCGCATCCTGGCGATCGGGGTGGCTCAGGCGGCTGGGCAGTGGCTGCACTGAGTGCGCCGTGCGCTGTGCGCTGTGTGCGCGGGTCTCTTCCTAGTCCCGAGCAGGAGGTCGGTCGGGACTTGCAAGAGGCCAACCACACGGGGGCGCGGGCTGACAGGGCCGCGGAGCGACGCTCCAGCCTGCTGACGCATGCAGGCGTCACCAGGCGCTGCTCCATTGAACCCCGTCAATGTACACGACAAGGTTTCTGTCACTTTCTGGCACCGACCATGGCCGCCCTTGCGGAGTATGTTCCCCGAGTCCATGGGAGTGCCGTTTCGCAGCTCCTCCGCTCGGCGCCCGAGGTTGTAAAAGGATCCAAGGGCCAATCTGCGCAATGAGCGCTGCCGTACCCTTATGGCCATTGCTTTGTAAGTAAAGGGTAGCCCGTCAGTTAACAGTAGAGCACATTGATGGTTTGCATCCATGATTGTCTTGAAGCTCAATATTCTAGATATTGCGAAAACTTTAACTTGAGTATCATGCCGCGTTCAACTTAGTATTGGTGATTTAATTTTGAGTGTGGCATTAATGCACGTGCTTATTTTCTTGAGAATATGCGTTTTGTTGAGTATCCTGTGCATTCAACGTGACTGAGCTGGGGTTCAAGGCGGCTTGGAAGGCGATAATGAACAAAGGAGAAATTGCGGAAAGGGGGCTATCTAAGAGGCAAGCGTTTGAGCGACGAGCATATTGGGAGGGGAAGAAGACGACAGCAGACGACCTGCATTCAAGGCTCAGGCACTGACGAGAATTCGCATTTGATGCAAGTGAGATTGAGAGCGCGATGAGAGTCACGGTCTCGCCTACGAAGTGTTGGACGATCTGAGGGAAAAGGGACGAAAGGGAACAAGAACACGAATTGGATCTCTAAAGGGGGATATGCCTGGATGGGTTGTCCATGATAAAAGACTGCACTGGCTGATCTGTGATACATACAGCCGGTGATTCTTTCAAGTTTATAGATGAGCACCTTGGGGGCAAACGAACAATTTTTCTGCTAGTAGGTGACCAGGGGCAGAAACGAAAGTTGATTTAGCTACGACGGAATGTCTCGAGTGCCTTCAGCGGCAAGCCATCGTTGGAAGGGCAGCAAGAAGAAACGTGTTTCATGTTCTGGATCAGATTGGGTGAATGACCACAATTCACTTGCGAACTTTAAAACAGATTGACGTGGTTGGCGGAATGGGCACAATTCACTTGCAAACTCTAGAACAGATTGACGTGGTTGGCTGGTACAACCTCCAGATTATAGAATAGCAAGTCAGGCATGCAGCAATCCGTAGAAGAGAGTGGCTTCCAGCCAACTGCAGAGCGATTATTTACGAAAACTGTTTGCCAATTGCCAACAAACTGCACGCACAAAAGAGCACACCTTGGCGGCCGTAACAGTGGCCAACGGTAGTTCATCCTGCCAATTCTGCAGACTGGCGCCGCAAGGCATCCACCCACAGCTCCCGCACAAGAGTGGCGGGCTCATTTGCGCAATGTCCCCCATACACAAACTTTAGACCACAACCGAAACTGGGACCGAGACCAGTGCCGAGACCGTACAGGACCGGTACAGAACCGGTTTTTTAGGATCTGTAGGTTTTAGGTTCCTAAGGTTGTTTTGAGGGTTTATATACTTTACATTCTTTAAGGTTTAGGTACTGGTCTCGGTACTGGCACGGTGTCTGCGTATCGGGAATGCCCTCCTCATCCGTGCATTGTACTTAGCGCATATGCACAAACCGCAAACTACGGGGTGCGCAAAACGAGCACGGCACTCGCAGTGCCAAAGTTGCCCCGCCTGCAACCGCCAGCAGCAGCGGGACGCACAGGTCTCACCAGCTCCCTCTAGGAGGCGAACGAGGGCGAACGGCGCTATGGGTGACGGCGGCACGGGGCCCTCCGAACCCGTGGGCCCCAAGCCCGTGGCGCGGGCGGTGGAGTCGCTGGGATGGCTGACGGAGAGCGCGCTGCAGCCCAGGAAGCGCCGGGCCATCGACGGTGAGCGTCGGCCACGGGGGGCGTTTCGGCGCCGCGTGGAGTGGCCGGGACGACAGCCGCGCGGGCCGATGCGCGAGCGACGCTGGCCGTGGGGGTGATGAGCGGAATGGGGAGTGGGTGAGAAGGGGGACGGCGTCCCTGGCCGAATCTGAGTGATGGCGCGCATTTGGGGACATGCGCAGACTCCCGTTTCTCGGAGATCGATGATGATCGTGTTTTGGCGGGCGCCGGATGTGGGTTGGGAATATAGGCTGGGGAATAAGGCGCCTGTGGCGGGGAGGTACACCGGGAATTCAGGGTAAATTTGGGCGCTTGCGTGGTCCGGTTGTCCAAAGGCGAAAAAGGAATGGCCGTGTACCTGCAGGGCGATGTGGGGCCCAGGTACTCGCACAGACTGCTCAGAATGCGATGTCCCCTGATGCTATCTCAGTCTCCAAACCAAGCATACTGACAGGCAACCAGTCGCGATGCAACAAGTTTGACTCAAGGCCTCTGGTGATCTTGAGTGGAATCGGCCAGAAAAGCCTTTAAAACACGGTGCAGGTGTTGAAGCAATTTTGCCATGTTGGTGTTGGCTTCAAAAAGGCATTAGCTTGAGTAGACAACAGCACTAAAGGAATGAGACTGTGAAGAAATGGCAACAAAGTCATAAATCTCTTCGACAGGAAATAGTTGTTGCATCATTCAATGGAATGGCGCAAGCCTGTGTTAGTGCATGATGACGAAGGACTGATAGATAGGAAGCAAACGTCCTGCTTTGCGTCCACATTGTGTACAATTGCACGTTTTGCATATGTGCGTTGAACACATTGTGCTTTCCATCCACACTCTACACACTTTGCACGTAATTCATTTATGGCGTGGCTTACTCCAAGTACTTTACATGCAATACTTGCACTTGTGCAGGTGTCACACCTGGAACCCTGATTGACTTGAAGGCTCAACTGTACCGCACTCAAGAGGAGGCAAGGTTGGCTGCAGAGGCAGAAGGTGGAAAGCCTCCAAGGCGAAAAACTGGCAAGGACGTGGTCATAAAGAACCCAGGGGTGGAGGAGAGGGATCAAAAAGACAGACTTCATGTCAAGGTGGGGGCATTTTTGTCATTGACGTTGATGCAGGACAACATGAACAGTCGATGGTCATCGGCTGTCACACAATGCTTCAATCTTGTGTTTCAGCAGGTCCAGAACCTCTGCTGCTTGTACATTTCATGGGTAGAGGGTCCAATTTATCAGAGGTACCTTGACAGAGTATTCCCAGTAGTTGGTATCTATAGTTGTGATGTTGCTGCAACATTGCAGTGACAGCTTGATCATCTTTTACACTGTTTGTGATTATGGTGATGTACTCTTGGTTTCAAGCAACATTTATTTCTGACAAATTTCTAGCTCACCAGGAATACTTGCACCAAACCCATTGAACTTCATGTGCTGAAAATTGCTGAAAGTCCCTGAAAATCCCTATGCTCACCTCACTGCTACTGACAGAGCGTTTCACTTGTTTCACCATGCTGTTGCAGAGTACTGCAGACAGGGCGTCTGAGTGCTATGCAGCATTGGAGCGCAAAGCAGATCTCTACAACAGAATCAGTGAGTGGTACCACGATCAAAATTGTAGAAAATTGCAAAAGTGGCACAAAGACGATTCTTCTGTGGTTGCAGGTGTGTTGTCGACCAGTTTTTTGGGCTTATGTTTGACTCCAAAATTTTCAGGAGTCGTGTTCTATCAACAAACACACAAGGGATTTGTGGCCACATTGGGCAGTGCCTGAGCTTACACCATTGCAGGGTTACCTCTGTCCAGGCACACTGTTCGCTTTCATGTTGTTGTTGTTGGGCTTGTCTGGGTGCCATTGTTGGCAGTGGGTGAGAGAGGGATGCACCAAGCACGATGTTTTACCCACAATAACGCTCGCCAATGTTAGCTGTGCATCGCCCAGCTCATACGATAGTGAAGAAATGCAGATTTTGGTGCTTGTGTCAGGCCTCTGAAAGCCTTGAACTATCCTCATGGCGCCCAGCAAGCCATGCTCACTGAAGTGGAGCACAGAAGTGCCTTCAGCAGACAATGGAAACGGTGGAAGATATATTGCAACGAGAATAAGACTTGTGATACAATGGGCTCCCCCTCAGCAACAGATTATAACTCACGCTTTCCCATGCTGTGGATAATGGGAATGCTCACTTTTGTGCTGCTGGTGCACCCAGTGAGAGGAGAAGTGCGCGATGATGATGACATATATGAAGTGGATTTCTTGCGAAAGGGCAGTGGCCATGATCGTGAGGGCCCACAGCCACCTGGGGAAGAACTGGGGGAGGCAGGTGGGTAAAGGAACCCACCCATTCTGTGGGAGCCATGACTGAAATCGTGGTGGAAATCCAGGCTGATTTCGAAATTGGAAACTGTAACAGAGCATCCCTTTGTACCCAGTGAGAAGATCTCCATATTGTTCACGATGTCCATGTCAACAGAAATGTCCACCTGGCCTTGCAACATGGTGAGCAAATGTCCACCATGTTGGGAACTAATAAACTGTGTCAAAGCAGATTGTCACCGGAAGCTTGCATCGCTCAGGAATGCTCACCTTTGGGAGCCAAAAGTGTACAACATTGTTGTTCCTTATCTGTGTTCCTCACGGGTTGCATTCTTCAGGCCGTGTTGCTGGAAATTCTCAAGAACAACAAGAGGATCGGAAGCGAGCTGACCACGGTGACTACGATAGTGAATTAGAGAGGGATGAACGTAGAAAACAACAAAAAGAGGTGAGACTATATTGTCTAGCCACTGCCTATCCGTTTGGCCCTTGTATCAGCCAAGACCATAGTTTGATGCATTTCAGGTTCTCAGTGGTGGTGAGATTGTGTACCTGAAGCACATCCTCTGGCATGTAAACCCATGTTTTCCTGTGTAGACATATTCTGTATTGCATGCTGGAGGTGGTGAGCTGTAAATTTTTTATGCACATGTCGTGGACAGCACCATTGTGCCTGATGCTTGTTCCATTTTCTCTGAAAACTCTACAGCGAGTTGCTGCTCATTTGTAATGTATCTTTGCTGCATTGAATGCCAATCTGTGGTGGCATTGTGCCAAAGCACAGCTTGCAACCCAACCTGACAGTTGATTCTTGGTTTGTTTATGAACGTCCAGCTTATTCTTGAGCAAGCAGAGCTGACAAAAGAAGGCCGAGAACGTGCCATCCGATTAAAGGCGCGGCGATCTGCACAGATGCAGAGGAAACGAGATCGGCTCAAGGCAGCCTTCATTAAGAAGAAGGTAGGAGTGTTTTCCGCACACGGAGGAAACGTTGCACGGCACTGTGCGACCCACCACCCAAGTGCGCAATCACACCCCAGGCAAGATTGTGAGCCTGACTATCATATGCTGTGAGGAAGATGTTTTGTGCTGTGTGGAGGGTGATTTAGTGGGTGGAGGTATTGGTTTGTGGCATAAAGCACTCGTGGCAAAGTTTTCATTTTGCACACAGCGCAGTGATTGCTCTTGCGTCTTCCATTCACTTCATATTGTTACATATTTTTACAAGTCTGTGCTGGAAGGGGTTTTCTGGGGTGGGCCAGTGCTTATGACCTACAGACTATTTCAGTGAAGTCAAATGTTGGCGGTTATTGGGCACAACTCAGCTTCTGGATCATGGAATCTTCATTTGGAATTTAAGGACACAGCCCCATAAAGAGAAGCCAATGCACCTGCAAGAACTGCAGAAGAGAGGAAAATTGTCTGTGCGATGATAAAGCGAATCTATCCTGAGTACGAATTTGTGGAGCGCACGTCTCTGCACGCATTTTAAATTATTGTGGAGCTGATACATTGTCATGGCATGAAATGTCACGAGTGAATGTGATTTGATACCAACATGACAGTGAACTCATGTTAAATTTGTGCATATGAGCAGCGGGCTCGCGTATTTTATTATGTCCACTCAGCGAATATTGTGCACGTTTGCAGATGAAGAAACTCAAGGCGCAAATGCATGCAGCTCCTGAAAGGCAAGATGCAAAGGACACAAGTGACAGGGAAGAAGCGGCTGATAGCGACGTTGAAAAGAGTTCATAGAATGTTAGGTGCCACCTCTTGTTCGCTGTACAATGCTGCTGGGCCGAACGGTAGTGTATCAGGCGGAAGTATCTCAACTTTGGCGGCGAACAGCACCCCGACTGGCGCAAAGGACCCATGGATAGGATACGATATGAACTTGGCAAGATGCTGTCCACCTAGTGTCTGGAGACCTGGGCGCAGCAACTGGAAATTTGGAGCGTTCAGGCTGTGGTTATCAAAGGAATCCGCGGGTTTGGGAAAGCGGGTGGCTCCGTCAGCACCAGGGAGAGAATCTCATGCACTCCCATTCGGCATTTTTTTCATGTTCTGTGAGAGCTCTTGGCAAGTGTTTTGCCCTGCAAAGGCGTAATGTGATCGCAACAAATGGAACAGCAAAGCGAACTGTATTCATGTTGGTGTGAACACGAAAGCACATGGCAAGGGGCGACTTCAACGTGAGCTCAAAGCCTTGAGATGTAAGCGGGTCGGAGGCAGGCCGTCGCCGCCACGCGGGGTGGATTGAGCGCAGCTGAGTGTCAAAGTACTGTTCGCCTTCGTTTCATGTGCTGCGCGCTGTGTGTGGCGCCCGCGAACGAGTGTACAATGAGCGTATTGCAGTCACCAAAACGCGCAACTAGTCGTTGATTTCGTCAGCCCCGCGCGGCTTACTGCATCGTCATCATCACCATTGCTTTTACGGCTTGATTCATGAAAGCAGGCGTGTTGATGGACTCCCTTTTCTTGCTGTGCACGCATCAATTGGTTGTCAGCTCGACACAATTGCGTTGTGCACAGATGACGCAATTAGTTGCATCATCATCATCATCATCATCATCATCATCATCATCATCATCATCATCATCATCATCATCATCATGAATTTTTACAGAACAAGGCAATGAGGTAGCATCAATTAGTTGCATCAGCACCCGGTGCAGAAGAAGCTTTCCTGGCACGTGACATTTCGTGATGATAATGATGCGGAATGGGCCAGTCCGTGCTTGCAGATTTGTATGGCCTCAGATATCCGGCGCCCGTTATTCACTGTTCCCGTTCACATTCGCACAAGCCCGCCTTCCTGCGAGCACAGCACTGTCGCCCTTTCCGGCACTGTCTTGCGTCGCTCCGAAACCTGTCGGAACGGGACTCCGGCGTCCCCGGCTTTCAGCGGCGGACAGGGCAACGCTGTTGGGAGCCTCCCGAATTCTTCACACTGCCGCACGGCCGAGCAGGACACGGTCAGCGTTGACCTAGCCCGCGACTCAGGTGTGTGTCGCCTTGGCACTGCCAGGCCCTCCCCAGCTGAATGGACCAACGAAGCGGGGCCATTTTCTTGCACTTCATTTGTCGAACAAAACAGGGGGCTCATTGCCTTATTCTGTAAGAATGATGATAATGAACAAAACAGGAGCTGACAACCGCCTCATTGGCTATGTGATTGACGTTGCAACTGATGGGCACTGCTTTTGCTCGGACGACGTGGGGAGCCAATGGCTGCCTCCTCGCCTTGATATGTAAGAATTCTTGACGATGATGAACGTTGATATGAGCTTGATATAACAACAAGTCATAGACACTACCGCCTGGGGCAAAAATTGGGCGTTGATGGCTGCCTCCTTGTCTTGATGTCATGAAGACCTGGCTTGGGCGTGCCTTGGAACCTTGTCACAGTAGTGCCGACGCATCAGCAAAACAAGTACACACACCGTGGCAAAAGGAGGTCGATGCCAGATCCCCTGTTGCCCTGGAAAAGCAGTGTCGGCGATTTGCACCAGCAAATCTTGAATCCACGAGTTCTCAATCTCCGTGAATGGATTGTTGACGATAGCCCACGCAAAGGGGCTTCTTCGCCTATCTCGCGATATTCGATTTCTTTTGCCTGACAGCTTTGCACCGAACACGCAGTTGAACTGAAATAATCGGCTGGTCAAATTGGGCGGCATTGGATCAAACCCTTGCTCTTGCATTGCAGTCCAAAAGAATACCGAATGGAGATGACATCAGCTCCCAGAAGACATGAAGCAACTCAAGTGAGCGAAGGGATCAGACGCACGGATGAGTATCTGAACACCACATGAGCCAAAACGCATAGCTTTCCGATAGACGTGCTCGAATACAGCCCTAGGTGGTGTAGGCGGCCGGCGGTACAGTCGTGAATTCTCACCCCGCACAGTGTCTGGTGTAGATCTTCAGCAGCAACTCGCTCCCAGGAGGCGAACGGCATTTGCTTGCCCCTGCCGTCCTCACACACTGCGGTCCCACGGGTCCCCGTCGCGTGATTGGGCCCGACATCTCGATTCCCATCCCCACGAGTGAACGTATCCCGCGAAGGCCCCAGGGGTGGCGAGTGGAGGTAAGAATTGTTCAACAAGTCTTCGCTTTGAAATACAGATATGATTCTTTGTATTGTTCTTTGTATGCTCTTTGCTTTGAATACGAAGAGAAAGTGAAATAGGTCATACGATGGGCAGCCCCTCCTAAGCAAGTGTCTGCGAAACTATTATCCATACTGTCAAGAGACGATATGTGGTCACCGTAGTTACAGAGCAGGGGTTTGGGTTTGAAACAGCGTCTGGGAGGCCATGGAGGGAAAGCGCGGCGGTCCGTCGTGCAAGAGGTCGGGGACTGTGAGGTTCAGGACGACGATGCACAGCTGCGTGGCGTACAAGGTGATGACTCGGAGGGGATGGACAGAGGTGCATGACGAGTACGACTGGGACATCTTCTGGTGAGACAGTCCTGCTTGCGCAACCGCTTTGTAAAGCCAGCACGCGACCTGATCGAATCATCTGGGTCGAATTTGAGATGCCCTGCAGCAGGGCATAGTATTGTCTCTTCTTTTCTTCTTTCCACGCGCGTGGAGGGGGGTGAAGGTGGGCGGCCTTGCGAGGCGCAGGGCGGTGTCCCACATCTATTGTGTCGGTGCGCCATGACAACTCAAGTGCTAATGAGATGCAAGTTCACTCCCCTTCTCGAATGTCCGCTTGCAGAATCGTCAACGCAGTAAATCCAGGGGCTCCGAAGAGCCAACGAAGCTTGTTATCCGATTGAGTGCCGTGCATCATTGGATTGTGAAAGATGACTTCTCTGTGTGCCCACGCGCAGGGCCGATGTGCACTCACTCAGCCAGGAAGCAGGATTTGATTTTGGAAAGCTCTTGGAGCATCAGCGCGTGAATCATTTTCCTCGGCACGTGGAGTTGACCAGAAAGTAAGGGCAGGTATTTGGAAGACAGCATACGGTGTGGCGAGGCGCGCACCTGCGGTTACAATCATTTCCAGCAACACAATTTCCAAGCAATGCCTCAACAGGACAACGCATTTACCATTGTTCCAATTTTCACAGACACGCTTATGATGAGGTAGGAAATTCAACATATGTACGTGCATGAGCATGCCAATTGGGTATCGAAATTGGCATAATTCCAATTTTATATGCTGATGAATTGCTTGTGTGGCAGGTCCCGTATCTTCATGTCTGGCATGCTTGGTTTGTTCATTTGGTCCTACTTGCAAGAATCCAAAGGGACAAATCCCGCAACGAAATTCTAGATCCAATGCGCCAGGAACAAACTTATATCTGAATCAAATTTAATCACAGTACAGAAAATTCGGACCGCAGCATTTGGGCAGTAGTGAATCTGGAGCTCTCTCGGACACCCACACCAATCTCTCTTTATTAGGAAAACAAGGCAAACAGCGAATGAATGTGGTATTCAGTCGCTGCTTGCCTTGTGACAAGACATGCGGCACCGTACGTTTAATCCAGAGCAGACTGCTGGCATGCATTGCACCCCACGCCCAATGCGTCAGGGAAGAGGGACAGCACCAACGTGCGACCCGCGCAGGGACCTGATGGTGAAAAACTTGAAGAGGGCCAAGCGGCAGCTGGACAAGGAGGGCCGCGGGCGAGAAATGGACTTCTTCCCACAGACGTACACCCTGCCGCAGGAGTACGGCCTGTTTGCGGAGGAGTTCAGGAGGAGCGGCGGGACGTGGATCATGAAGCCCTGCGGCAGGGCCCAGGGGAAAGGAATCTTCCTCCTTGACAAACTAAGCCAGGTGACCGCCGGAGCTGGTACGCGAAGCGGCGCCCGTCGCCTTGATGACGCTTCCACTCACCAAATGGCCCTTTGCACGCGCCGGCGCATGCGCATTTCAAAAGCAAAGAGCAGTGCGCAGATGTTGAGAAGGACGGGGCGACCGCATTTGGGACCCTCTCAGCGCCTCTGAAGCACTGGCGAAAGGGGTGTTTGATTCAGAATCAGTTTGGGAAGCGGTTTGTGGCTTCGCCCAGGCGTGGTGAGTTGCGCACGATTCTCGGAAACTGCTGCGTCGCATATGACCTCGAAGGGCGCGTGCAGCGACCCATTTCCATTGAACGAAACGGACCACGCTCTGCCAAACCGAGCCCGACGGCCCTCAACACGCACTACCGTCGCAATTCCCAGACGGATAGACACAGGCTGACGTCTCGCCCGGGAGCGGGCCCTCAGGTCAACAAGTGGAGGAAGGAGATGGAAGAGAAGGAGAAGGTGGAGGCTTGGCGGGACATCTACGTGGTGTCGCGCTACCTGGACAACCCGCTGCTCATCGGCGGCCGGAAGTTCGACATCCGCATATACGCCCTGGTGCTGAGCTTCAGCCCCCTGCGCGTGCACCTCCACAGGGGCGGTTTCTGCCGCTTCAGCTCCTCGCGCTACAGCCTGTCCCGCGACAACATCAAGGACGTGTACATGCACCTGACCAACGTCTCCATACAGAAGAAGGCGGACAGCTACGACCGCAAGACGGGCATGAAGTGGCCGCTGCGCAGCCTGAAGATGTACGTGGCCACGAGGTGGGGCCCGGAGCGCGCCAGCCGTCTGTTTGAGGACATTCAAGGGATCGTCATCAGGTGGGGACTGGTGAACGCTTCCGGAGCTTTTTTTCAGGTGCACTTCCGGCACGTCTTTTAGGCGATTGCCAGGGCAGGGTCTGCAAGCGAGAGTAGGTTTGTCCGTGTGTTCGTCCATATGTTTGTTGCCTATTCAGGTCCACTCAATCGCGTATCTGTTGATTGGATGCAAATGTTGGGCATGCGCATCCATGCAATATTCGCTATATGTGCTTTGGCGCATAACAGAATTTGATGCACTGTGGCTTGTCCGCATGTGGATTTGGAATTTACCGTTTTGTGATTAGGTACAGCGGTTGAGCCAGATCCCCATTTTGTGCCAACTACCGTCGATAAAAAAAAGGCATCCCATATACTCGGCCGCTCATCTGCAGTTCGCATATTCCGACGCGACGCACTGTCGACTCAAGGACGGAAACGCCGCCGGCATGGGCGAGTTTCAACCTAATGAGGTTATAACCTAATTAGTTTTTAACAGACTTTTGAAAGGCTGGGGAAGATCGCCTGGACGCCAAGGCCAAAGGGCGCAACCATTAACAGAGATCGCCGGCCCGACACAGGCCAGTGGCGCTGGTGAAGGGCGGCCCAAAGAGGCGTCGATGACTTCGCCATGGAACTCGATTGCTTCATTCCGTATGTTGCTGATGCGCAATCATTACGAATATTCGCGATTTAGGAATCTTTCCGAAATGCCCCTTCTTTTTCGGCGTGCCGCGTTAACTTGGGCGCGGACTTCGGTCCATGTCACGGCGTGGACATGTGCACATGCATTCCAATCAGTGCTGCAGTCTTCCTGTCGAAAGCCGGAAACTCCAAAGGCCCCCCATGCGTGCGTGGACCATATGGTCTGCCCACCTCCCATCTCCTTTCTGGCTTCCGTGTTTACCATCGCCTGAAGCCCAAAGAGGCTCCTCAGAAAATTTCCTGAGCAACTTACAATCCCCAAAACAGGTCGCAGCATTAATGCAACGCATTTTTGCTCAGGTCCCTGCTGGCGGTGCAGCACGTCGTGACGCAGGACAAGCACTGCTTCGAGGTGTACGGCTACGACATTCTCGTGGGCGCCGACCTCAAGCCCTGGCTCATCGAGGTGAACGCATCTCCCAGCTTCATGACGGACACCGCCGCGGACTTCAAGCTCAAGTACCACCTCGTGAGCGACGCGATGACCATCGTGGACGTCGAGGGGAAGTTCAACGGAAACGCGCCAGCCAGCCTCGGGGGGTGCGGCATATGGGTTTGCATTGCTGTTCTTCTGGTTTATGCCAGCAATGTTATTCCACAGTGGCATGTGTGCGGCGTGTGCGTGCGTGATTGGAACAGGTCTTAGGGTGCTGTATTTTTTGCTGCCTTTGTATAACGTATTGGGAGGTGATTGCCGCACATGACAGGATGCCCCTCAATTCGATCCGCGCCCATACACGACGTCCTGTTGAGGAACGCTGGCGTAGTGTGTGCTTACTTCGTTGGCATGACTATTGGATAAATACACCGCACTAAATGCTGGCATTCTGTTCTACATGTGATATGCAAAATGTGTCAAAAAAATCAGGCAAGGCTTAACATAGGAAAGACTGTAAAACTTCTGCGCGCGCATGGATCCTAACAGATCCTAACAGATCAACCACTGCCGGGGAAGCGATTCCAGAAATTAATGGCCTCGAAGATAGAAGTGACACAGGCTTCATGGTTTACAACGAATGTCGCATCGTTTGGTGCTGCCAGGTTCGACATGGTGTACGACCAAGGCGGCGTCACGCAGGTGCATCCGTCCCTGCCCAGCATGCTCGGATGCGACATACCGATCGTCAACCGCATTGCAAAGAAGGGAACCAAAGGGGAGAGGCGGCAGCAAGCCGACAGCAAAACTTAGCAGAAACCGAGGAAAAGAACAAAGGAAGAAATGTCTAATGAGAGCTCTCGCCGAGCAGTTTTAAAGGCCCAGAGGTGCAGACTCAGTATCTCTGTTCCTATCACTTTTCCGGAGACGGGTCTGCTGCGCATTGTGGGGAGCGGAGTCATTCCCTAATGGCAGAAACGTACAGAATCAAATGGGTTTGTCGGTCCTGTTGGCGCAAGGGTGCACAGGTTTCGACCTGTCTTGCACTTTCAAGCTCTGGCAGTGTGAGATAACTGGTTACTTCACATGTCCAGGGATACCACATGAAATGCTGCTGCAGTGTTTCATGCAGCAAGGGTTTCAGGCGGGCGAGGGCCGGCCGTGTGGTCGGTAACTGAATGGGTGGCGGGTGCGTCATTGCATGCCTGCCTCCCGTGACGGTCATGCAACGCTTTGTGCGCCGTGAGCCTTCTGTCAACATATGGGAGCCTCGTCAGAATGCGGCAATTGGAGGCGTGGGTGGACAACGAATGCCCACAGATCAACTCTGTTTCGCGGTGCAGACTGCCATACAGCGAATCCACCGCCTTCAGACGCAATTCTGAGGGCCGCCAACGTGTACCCCGGGCGCATGGGCTTCGCTTGACAAATGAAGCCGCGAAGTACATATTTCCCTGCTCTGGGACTGTGTATGGGATGGACACACCAGCCCGACTCCGCTCAACGGATGGGACGAGTGGAGCTAATTCACAGTGGGAATTGGCGATCTGCGTTGTGCCCTATTCCGCAGTACTAGCAAAGTATTTGCCCTACGGCTCCAACCCACCGTCGACGACACGCCCAACCATCGAGGTTATATACGTGAATGTAGCATTTGTTTCACTTTACCACCATATTTCGATGAGGTTCTGAACTGTACAGGACTTGGAAAATTGGTTTTAAATATATTGCAGGGCTGCCCTTCCTCCGTCCGGAATTAATTGTCCTCTATGGCTTTGGTGCCTTACTTCTCCATCACAAAGACTTCATTTCTCATTCAATTTTTTTGCAAAGCTGCGCCTATGCTTTGAGAGTATGCGGTCAAAATTTCAAGTCAATTCGTTGAGTATTGCGGTTTCGGCAGCACTTTGTAACAAGTGCCATCCAGCCAGAAACCCACCCGTTTTTCAATATCCCTGCTGGAATGGCCATTTTCGCTGTTATGAGGAACACGCCTTTGCGGCAGCGCTACAGAGCCGCCCAGGCAAAACTATCCACGCCGTTTGGACAGAAGATCGTGGAGGCGCTTGCAAAGGAAAAGGGCAACAGAGAATATGTCTTGAAAGTCCTGATCGTGGAAGTCGCCGTATCTTGCGGCTGCAGTTCAAGCTCGATTGGCCAAATCAGAGATGCCAAATTTCCAACTCCAAATTTCTGGACCACGACTTTTGTTCCTCCAACTCCACTACGAGGGATACTGCAGGAGGCCTCCCAAATTCCTCACAGGCCTTTAGGAAGGTGGTGGCCATCGCCCCATTCAGCGGCAGACAATTAGAGGGCAGTTAGGCAGTGGCCCTCCTGGACAAGAATGGTGAATCCACCAATTTTCCGGCACTTGAAGGGCTTGAGCTTGGGAAGACCAGCTAGATGGATAAAACTATGTCTCTCAAAGGGAAACACATTTGCTAGGCTGCGATGGATTGTGGATTGCATGCAAGAGTTGGCAGATCGTGGCAATTTGTGGGGTGTGGGATGGGCGGCCCACAAAAGCAACGATTCAAGCCTCAATCGAGGCAGATTGTCCAAGCAAGTCTATTGCATAACCTTGGAACAACAGCTCGCACATAGCCCAAGCTTGAATGCCCTAGACCCTAGACTTGTTCACTTGCTTTACGTCTGCATGTCAAAGATCGGCGATGGCCGAGATTTCAGAAATCGTCAAAACTGCGACGATGGCCTTCCACTATGGAGTTCCAAACATGCTCGAGCGTGTTTGGCAGCGCTATTCCACATAAGGATTGCCACCCTTCACTGCAAAGGCGGCAACGACTTGTCTTTGGCGCACCAAGGATGGGAGTGACCCAGAAACATGCGGATCTCGAGCATATGCAGAATCTGCATGCACACTTTTTGGACGATTTTCGGCCAATTTTGGGGGTCCTCCAGAGGGGGTGGGACTGAACTTTTTTCCATGAAGATTGGTAGTTAAGGGTTTTGCGACCCAATCTTTCCGATTCTGATGTTCTTTTGTAAATTCAAGGTGTCCTTTGTAACGAAATTTGTCCCTCAAATAGAGGAAAATTAATTCCGGACGGAGGAAGTAGTAGAAAGTATGCCTAAAAACTCGTGGCAAAAGTGCTGAACAGGCCTGGAATGGCCAAAAGCCTTGGGAACTCAAAACTCTCCAGCGCTCCCGAAGGCCATGAGACACAGGGGGCCTGGATTGGCCACGAGTCAGGCAGGTGGTTCCATTCGCTGCTTGCACTCCCAGGCCCTCTCATCGTCATACTGCCCGTGCCGCTGACATTTGTCTGGGGATGCGATTGGAAGTCCGTTCAGAAAATGAGAGTCCGCAGATGCTCAAAGAATACTTCACGAACTCGCTTAGATCCCAGCTGCCTTCGTAGGCCCGAGCAGAGACCCTGCGCTCGAAAGGGTACGGCAGGCAAGAATGCGAAGAACATTTCACACCTGGCTGTCTGCGCAGATAAAATGAAGGGCCAGAGCATGTCGTGGATATCCTGTTTGATCTCCGCATGGGCCAATTGCCTGATGCAGAAGACAGCTGAGTTAAAACAGGAGGCTTCCAAGCGACGCACAAGCCAGGAACGAACCGGTCAGGCTCGTCAAGAACAATCTCACACTTGTTCGAAAGATGGCCGGGGTCTGACCCCATCCCTGCTGCAGAATGTCACATTTGGGTCAAACCCGAATGACATGCTGCCAAGGCAGTGTGGTGCGCACGGGGCGTGTGACTACACGTCACTCACAGGGCAACCACCACTGCTGACATCCCTTTCAGTGGACAAAATTTCAGGGGTCCTCAAGCCAGGTACAAGGAATGACTTCTTGAGAAGTGTACTATTATTTCAAGGAATTATGCCCGCCGTCACTTTGAAAATGCACGGGCATTGCTGTACCCCGTTGCCAAATGAAAACAATGGAACCCACAACCAGGTGCATCTAAGAGCACAACTCCATCACTGCCAAACATGGCGATGACTGCCACCCACCACCAGTCAGCAAAACTCCTCCGCCGAGTCACAAGAGCGTCCATCCAACTAATAAAGAATAGATGGTGCCGCCAAAAAAAATCCCTACCTGTGGCACCAACAATGACAAATGAATGACCCTGTATACCTTCCCAAAAGGCTATCTGCAGCCAATGTAGATCCACAGCTGCTCGTCGTGGCACCACACCCCAGTTTCTTGAACCAGCCTAGACTTTGCAACACATGCCGCCACTGCACCGCACAGCCCTATTCCCTACAAACAAGCACAAAGGACTGCGCCATCCTGGTCATGACACTGGTGCCAACAAAGTCTTATGCTGACACCCCAGGCCCACTCTTTTTCCAATGTGGGCACTTGAGAGCCACAGGACAGAATCAATGGCAAGGGCCAGCTGGGGTCCAACCTTGCCATCGTGTGTCATGTCTTCGAAGCAAACATCGTTCTTAGCCGTGACACCACTGTCAGGGTTGCTTCCACTCCAGAGTCTGAGGCAACGACTAAAGGCCGAGCAGCTGCAAATGACAAGGCATCCTCTTTCCCCATTTCTGCCAGATCCCACATGATTTCATCTGCCTCTGGTGGTTGAAATGCCCAGGACACCATTTGCCCCATGGAGTACTTGCATTCCCTGAAGGTGTCTGGGGCTATGTCCACATTGAGCCCGTCCCCCCAGCCCTTCACTGGAAAGCAGCAAATCCGAACAGGCCGAGTCTGGGGGGCTGTGGGTATGAGGTTGGTGGCACCCCCATCCGCGAACATCCCCTTCCGGAAACTGGAGAAGAAAGTGCTGTCAAACCACCAGGGGATGTGACAGGACGTCAACATGCTGTTCATGAGGTCGGCCCGTGAGTGAAATTCTGAAAGCAGAGTCCCTCGGTATCTTGGGTAGACCTCGGTTACAGCGATGTAGGCTCTGCCTGGTGGCACCAGCACAAACACTGGCACATTACCATTTAATCTGGGAAGGTTTCTGTCGGGCACAGTGTCCGTTTCCCTGGACAGAGCCTGACATTGCTGGACGGGTGCAACGGCAGTGCTTCATCACGTCCGTTAACAAATGTGAAACCAACAAGTATGTGGCAATTTGTGTCCCCTTCATCGCCTCATATTTTCTGATTCCGTATACAACACCCTGACAGTACAGGAGGCGCACACCGCCAATTGCTGAAAAACACAAGCATACGGTTTGGTGCCTTTGCACAACAGTAGTTTCAGGGCATGAACAAGGGCCATCTGAACACCCAGCTCAACATTGCCAAGTACGTGGACACATAATCAATACCTGAACACCAACATGTGAACACCTAGTCCAACATCTCCCCATGCATGAACAGCCAAGTAACGCTTGAAGACACAGTCCAGCAAAGCCCCAGGGCAGCCTTTCTGCAACTGTGATCAACGAATGAAATAATTTTTGGTGGCAGCAAATGTCAGTAAAGACACACTGGCCAAGGCACTCTCTCCAGCAAATTCAGAGACTCCGTATCAATTCTTCACAAATCGAAAGAGCATCTCCACAGATTCGCTTGGGAGGGGCGTGCATTGTAGGCCATGTTTTCCTATTGTTGCTATAACAGATCCTGTCTGCAGGGGTCAGAACATAGGAGAACATCATTTCTTCCAGTGAGATCCCAAGAGTCTCACAATGCTTGGCAAGAACGAGCACCCCAGCCCCCGCATGAACGTGATCAACAAGGAAGTACCTGAACATCTTGTGTGGCAGTCGTCGGGAAGGATATCATCCAAGACGTCTGCGAGGACAGCCTTCAGGCGGCCCCTGGTTCCATTCTCCCTGCAGTCCACCGTCACCCTTTGGCAGCCCTCCATCAAACCCTCCTTGGTAACACCACTGTGGAAGCATCCTGCGATGAGGGAGCCTGCAGATGCACCTGCCACCTTGGTGTCCTCTGCCATCAAATGCACAGCAGCCAGACCCATCAACGCCAGGCCACGAATCAATTTCAATAAAAAATGATTTTATGTTTTGCGAGTGCATGATCTGCTCCCCTCCACTCCATCCTTAGTTGCTTGCTGCATCTGTCACGCTTGGAAACGTTGAGGCTGCAGTCACACAGTGGAAAGCATTTCTCAGCATTTTTTCCATGCACATGGGCGCTCAATGCTCTGCCACGAGGGCAACTGTTGCTGCCACGATTGATGACGCTGCCCACTGTTTGATTGCTTAAAAGGCGGAAGCTGCAGGTGCACAGCAGCTGGTTCGTGGCTTCAAGCATGGATCCCACACGAGTGGATCCCAACAGCAGGAAATGCACTGACGCGATCGCAGACGTACCCAGAAACACCTACCGCCAGAGCACAAAGCCATGCTAATCCTGGAGCCCCACAATGCGAAGTTTCTCGATGTTGCGCTGCTCCGTCTGCTCCTGGGATGCCCAACGGTTTTCCCTTCGGACACTTCTGACCGCCCAGCATTCTCCCCATTTCTCCCCACTCCCTCCCAATCAACTCAACGCAGCGCCTCTACCCACCGTGCCTAAACCACGCACACGCCTTCCCACCAGAGATCTCCCCGCAGATCTTCCCCTTTCCGCCCCGGCTTGTGTCGTGCTCTCATCAGTTCGCACAGAACACTCAACCTCATCTCTTCACATTCTAAAAAAGAGTCTCGCATACATTTGCTTATGACGGGGTGCCCTTTGCATGGCCTGTTTCCTCTTTCTCTTCGTGGCCAATCTTGGCCCCTCGGGTCCCCCCCCCGCCCCCAGCACACTCATACAGACACAAAGAAAAAAAGAGAGAAAATACATCGCACCTGTAAGGAGGCCCGCCTCGTTCAGTGCGTACGCCGCGCCCACCAGGTACGGGAACAGCAGACCCCCCGCGCTGAAGCCGAAGCTCAGAGGCAGGCCGGCCAGCGGGCTGGGCCCCGTCGCCGACCCCGCCACCTCCGCCCCCAGAGAAGGCACCGCGGCGGCCTCCCCGGATAGCAGTCTCTGCAAGGGCCGAAGCGACGAATCTTGGAAAGCAATGCGGGGCCCGGCCAATGGCGCGGGGCGCGTCGCGGCCCTCAGGCCGCTCCTGCAGGCAAGCAGCCATGGGGACCGCGCCATGGCGGATCCCCTCGCCAGGGAGTTGGCGCCGGTGCGCCGAGGGGCTGCGGAAGAATAGGGGGGGAGGGGGGGGGGGCGAGCGGGCGCGGGCCGTCCGGGACGCCCCGGGCGGTGAGGGCGGGGCAGGGCGCGGGCCAACGGGGGGAGGGGGGTGACGCCTGTGGTCGATTTCAGCTGAATGACGCCGACACAAACATCGTGTTATGTAACAAAACTGATGATCATGATGATGATGACACAAACATCGACACGTGTCCGCGATGTTCTCAAAAAAGGCACCAAACTTGTCGCCCTTGTCTTCTCCGTGAAAACCCGTTCTTGTTGTGGACACCCAAAACCCTAAAACCTCTGACCCACTTACCGGCGTTGTCAACAGAAGCAGCAGTGATCTTCACGGAAAACAGAGGACTCATATATTCTCTTCTCAGGAAGCCTCCCAGTTGGGCATCATGGGTGCTTTTGCAGTTTCCACAACATAAAAGTTCTTCATAGTGAAGCAGCTTTTGCGTTTTTCCAAGAACTGGAGATGATCGGGCAATATACGTGGAGAGCTGAGCCTGGGGACAGACTTTGAGCGTGTCGTTTTTTGGGGCCGTAATTTTGGCAAATTTGGATGCGTTTCATGACGTTTCAATTTAAACAGCACACCCGGCAGGCCCTGCCGGGAAGCGTACAAGGAATACAGTTGATCTTTAAGGGCATTTCTCCCGTTATGTATGCAAGGGGCGCCGCACATGCGTGGAAATGGCCACGATTCAATCACACCGATTCCAATTCGTGCCGGCACTGCATGCAGGATGTTGTTGCTAAGAACTTCGGTGTTGCATACATACACCCAACCAATCATCGATGGCACCAAAACACACAATCGTGCTCACAAGCATGGCAACCAGCAAGCAACCATGTCTTTGTGGACGATGAGCTGGCGACTGCCACACCAGCAATGATGAACTTCGTTGGACACTGACATGAACACCAGCTGCAATCATGTGAACGACATTGGGAGCATGGATGCACTTACAACGTATGATTGCTGCCAATGCTCAAACCGCTTCCATGAAATGTCACACTTTCGCTCTGTTGCTGCCATCCCTCAATAACACAGCGGGTGCAACACAGGATTGTTTGCATCCATGTCCCTTGTGCTCGAATTCCAACACCATCGCATACACTACTCCAGGGTTATGAAGGTGCAACTCCACGGAGATGTCGCCCAATTGTGCGAAGCTGGGCCACAATACACTCACCACAATCTGCCTCATGGCACATCTGAACCATCGGCTTCTGTCAACAAAGAAGGTCATTCCTCAAACCGCTGACGTCACAACAAAGCCATGGACCCAGAGATCTGCCGTTCCTCGCTTCAGTATGACACCACACTATGTGTTCACTCGGATCGTTGTTGGCAGCACTGCCAATCCTCTATTTCCATGGAAAGTATACAAAAATTCACCAAACAAGACGTGCTCACAGGCACAGACTCTCATACAGCTGGAAGCACTCCCTTTTGGGGACACATGAAGCACGCCCCCACCATCAGTATGGTGCTTGCCGTTGTATCGGCCTTCCACGCCTGTCTGGCCCGCCAGCTGCACGAGACAGCTCATCGCTGTGCCTCCGGCTGCTCCCATATTCACGGCGTGCCCCAACACCATATTCACGGATGCCATCTTCCTCGTACCTTGAGGTGTGCCTGCGTGGGCCCCCTGTCCTACTCTCATGCCCCCCATAGCTGTCGTCCCTGTAGTAATACGGGCGCTCCCTTCTGTCCCCAGCCTGGCCCAAATTGTCACTCTTCCTCCGTTCCCTATAGTCTGGTGGAGGGGGCATGTGTGAGGTGTAACGGGCATACTGTGGTCTATATGAAGCTCCATTGGCCGAGTACGTCGGCACATCTCGATATGACCGGTGTCCCTGGTACCTATGATACCCATCGTCAGGAGGGCCATACCTGCTGTCATAGGCCTGGGCGTCTTGGCCACTTCCATGAGCATATCCATACCCATCATTGCGTGACGAAGGATATCGGTGGGGCAGATCTGTCCTTCCCCGAGGGACAGCGGCCTGAGCATCCATCCCTGGGTCGTCCTGAGAGCCAAACAAGCACCATGAAGGTCTCAGATGTCTTCAAAGGCGTGACAACATATTGCAGCAAAGGCAGGTTTTGAACTACAACTTGCAATGCATGTTTGCCGCCACGAACGTGGACATGCGTTCTTTGCTGAGCTTTTTGCATCAGAGCATACTGAAAATGATATCTGTTAGGCTTGTCATGGGATGCTTCTTGCTATTAGTAATACTGAAAATCAATATTTACTGGCTATACCAGCAAAATTGGCTGTGAAAATTGCCAGAAGCAATTGCCGTGAGACAATGACAGCAATGGAACATATTACCTGGAGTAGAAGCAGCACTGCTGGATTACCCACAAATAACAAGCTTATGCATGTGCTATAACAGCTGCCAGACTGTGGCAGGCAAGGTGCAGGTCTGCTCACTTGGAAGTGGGACAACTTGTAACTGCCAGTTTCAGTGCTGAATCCTTCTGATAGTGAATTCAGCTGAAAATCGAGCAGAGCAGGGCACCAGCTCACCAGCTCAGCGTAGATGCCTTGTGTGGGTCCAATCTCCTTCAAGATCATTAAGGCATTCTCACAATCTTCTACTGAGGCAAAAGCAGCTCTCCTGTGCAAACATGCATACATTGTCATTGATATAAGGAACACAAACAAACAACAGCTGTCCGCACTTCAGGAAAATCATGCCTTGCTTTGCTGCATGTACTTGAGTTACCACCAAAGCTTCCTGTCAGGTTGCGGCGATCTGGACAATACATCCGTATGTTGTTGCTCACAGTGTCACAAGGCAGAACAGGCAGTAAAATTCAGTTTCCCTTCTGCTCCTTGCAGGTGCTCACTGTCTGCCACGTCCCCTGGCCTGGGTATCACATGCACTTACAAGGACATTTGCGTATTATATACCTGCTTCTTTCAACCAGCCTGGCCGTTTTCATATCCCCTCATGTCAGTGGTAACTCCCACTGCCCCCCAAACAGAACATTTATCATAATCTTCATTTTGGAAAGTGTGCTCCTGCTTGACAATGTGGCACTGAGCATAGGGAGCACTGGTGCTGAATACAGGTGACAATAAAATATTCCGCATGGACTTGCAAAAGGTCACGTGCTGTATTATTGATTTGTCAATGTGTGAAAGATCGATTTGCAACAGATGCAACAGAATTTTTCGTGCAGAGGTTTGTCCAGTTACTCAGCATTCGCCGCCCTGCCCTCCCACCGCCAACCCCACACTGCCCCGCCCAATGCAAGAAAGAATGCCAGTGCATCAGGTGCAACTATCTGTTTGCTGGCCTCAAAATGCATGCAATGTTGCACATCCAGAGCACCACAACATGCACACAAACCCATCGACGCCACTGAGCATCCCTGCGATCTGCAACATGTCCCTTTTGTGCTGCAAATTCAATGCCCATTCAAATGCAAAGTCCACAAGCACCAAAGTACACTAAAGGCAACAGCTGCATTGAGACAGCAGCGTTGATATGGCCCCCCACCAGTGACATTCCAAACCTAACATTTCTGAAATTGAGCATCCTCAAGGAATAAAATCTACCCAAGCAATCTAGGAAGTTGTCTTGCTGTGCTTACTCCACATATCAGAGCCTGTGGCAGGGGACATCGCAGAACTGGTCAAAGGCCCTTATCCCCACCCAAACGATCGAGATTGGAGGGATGGCTCATCCTCAGTCCAGCAACATGATTCATAACTCCACATCGCTTGGCAGTGAACGGACAAAACATGTTTGCAAATTTTGGCAATTGTTGTCACAACATGTTCTCATTCCCAATGTGCGTGCGCTTGACCTCACACTTCCAAATTGGATTGGCAGCAGACGATGTCCCTCACAAGGCTGTGAATCAACATGAATGCTAATTAAGAGCTTGCTGGCTTGGTGCTCACACGTTTGGACACTGCGTGACATTGATCATTCCAGCCTTCCCTGGAACGTACCCCTCTCCGCGTCTAAGGATCTCGGTGTACTGTGGTACACAGTTGTTATCCCTCAAGTAGTCCTTCAAGTCCCTGACATGCACCACAATGGTCAGATAGCAAACAAGCTCCACTGTGGAGGGGAAAAGTGTTCCTAGCTGCTGATGTGATTTGCTGTTCTCACGTGCACACACAATGAGCTACTGCAGGCATCACAGCTGTGATCATCTTGACTACATTGCAAAGAAACCAAGGCTCTTGCACCTTGAAGGTGATGACATGCAGATTGTGTCTCCAAGGCTGCTACTCTCCTGCCCTTCCCTTTACTACCCTTTTCTCTTCAGCCAAGGTGCTATGACCACCATTGCTGAAGTATCAATAATCGAAACACTCTTTGCCTGCTTCCAGACTTATCTTTGAAAAAAATTGGATTCCTGCTCTCCACTACCGGTGCATAATGGACAGTGGCTGATAACAGAAAATAGAGGGGGAAGCAACCTCAGCAGCAATGGGCTCGCTTTATCCAGTGCACACATGAAGGCACACAATAGTAGAGTGACAAAATGTCAAAACAGTAGAGTCCATATCCTGCTTTGTAAATCTCCTTGATCCATGTTTCATTCGATCTTTTCTTGCATTCCAAATTTCTTGTGTACTGTGGGAGAAAGGCAGTTGCCCATCAACTTTGTGAAACTTTTCATTGTCTGTTTATCAGCTTTTACCCCATTTTTCAATCTGGTTGTGTAGTTGACAAGGACAGCCCACCATCACACAGTGATGTGTTGCTGGCAAGATAAAACAGCCACAATGACACACAGGAACTCAGATGGGATATAACCTCAGGCCCTCGAGCTAAATGCTATGCTCACACAGTGAACTGGCATTCAACTGCACAAGCATGCAAAAGTTTTGATCGGCATTACTCTGTTCTGTATGCACTTTGTGTGCTTGTGGACACTTCAAAGCTGCATGTTTTGGTTTCATTGTTGCAATGAAAGTACCCGAGTGTAGAGGAGGTGCAAGGAGGCCGAACGATACACACTATACACGCCGCTATTTGTAGAGAAATCCATACTGGCGTCCACTAAGTGTGCATCTGGATTTTTAGGCTGCAATCCATTTCAGTAGCACTAGGCAACGCATCAGAGAGCACTGCGTTTGCACCTACAAGGTGACGATGGGCACTCTTCACCTCCTTGGTGTGAGTTCCCTCATTTTTCAAGATTACAGCCCAAGAGGCAACCGCTCTTAGTATTTGCCAAGAAAACACCAACTGTCCAAGGATAGAAAGAATTCAACTGTGACTGCGCTAGAACCAAATTGACAGTATCCCATGCATCTTGCAAAAGATAGCATAACTGGTGAAAAATAGCATAACTGGGAGTGGTATAGTTCAGATGCGAAGAACAAGTGCTGACAAGTCAATACTTACTGCCAGCTCATGCCAGTAGCAAGGCCCCAGATATTTATTGTGGTGCCACTTGGACGCCCTCTCCTAATCTGCGTCCTTGGCTCATATCTTACTGTTCTCGCCTGCAAACCAATGTGAAAGGCAGAAAATTCAATGGCAAGGTTCACCACAAGCCTAAAATCGGACGAAGGGGTTTGAGGTTATCAAAGTTGATGATCATTACTATATTTGTCTGCAGAGACCATACGTACATTCCCCCATTTGTGTCCTGCTGGGATTTCGATCCAATGAATGACAGGACCTTGTACACAGCAGAAAAGGAGCACAAACACTCTATCTTGTTGTGCACCCCACCTCTGCAAACAAGTCCAGCAACACAAATCACTACCTAGAGAGAAGCAGTATCATACTGTGCCATTTCTTGTTTCTTCTACTGTTGCCAGTGCAGGGAATTTCCACAAGGAGACAATTCTAACCAAAATATATGTGCTTGCACTCTGCCTGATATTGTGTCAAGGCTCCGCTGCAGCACTGTTGACAAGACAAGTCTGAAAACCCACAATGTCTCTTGACCAATTTCGGAACTGGACTTCACAGGGAGGCAAGCACAGACGGTCAATCCATATACAGTCCTCTCACACACTTGGGTGTTGTCTTGAGCTGGATCTACATTCTCAAACAAGAAAAGGATAGAATATGGAAATTTTCATACTCTGCCTGTGGCTTGAGATCAGAAGCAAATACAGCTCATCCTTGGATGGGGACACGCATCTGCGCAGTCACCCAAACATGCAGCCAAGCAGCCACACAAGCATGTTCTCCAGAAAGGCGCGTTGCGGATTCGGGATCATGAAATAAATATCAGGGGCCACCTCCCTCCGTCAATTCGGGCACATCATAATGATCCATGCCAACCAGATCCCCTTCCCCCAGACGATCAGCAACAGGCAGGCCACAGCGACAGCGAGGTTCTACGGCTGTGCCCGGCGTGGGTGTGTGGACGACCGCCCGTCGGACTGCAACCCGGGGTCACAACGCCGGAATTTGCGTCGTGAGGCCGCGGATCCCCCTCACAGGTTCACCGCAGCCGCGCCAATCCATCACTCCCCACCAAGTCGAACCCCTTCTCGCCGTGCCCAGAATCCTCAACACCCCGCCCACTGCCCTCGGCGCACAAAACGAACGCACAAGGTACAGAAAAACATTCTCCGATGCGCACACGCCCGTCATCCCCCACAGGGTGCAAGGACACCGCCCCGCCTTTCAAGGCCAACCCCAAAACAAAGGCTTTCGGCCCAATGCCCCCGTCCTCCCCAAAGCCACCGCCACGCTCGCCGAGCCTGGGCCGTGCGGGCGGACGTCCCTGGGTCGGCCCCCGTGAAGTCCACGACCCTCCCCAGACGCGGCGATTCATGCGGCCCCCCCCCCCCCCCCCCCCTTCTGCGTCCGCCGCAAGCGGGGTTCCCCTCGCCCTGGCCACCGCTTGCGCATCCCTCCCACCCATCCATCCATCTCTCGCCATCCGCAAGCCACCCCCGGCATCAGATTCCCACCACGGGCCGGTTGTCGTCGTAGTAGTCCATCGCCACCCGGTCCCGGGCCCCGCGTTCGCGGCCCCAGTCCAGCAACGGGCTGGGCTCCGCTGCCCGTCCGCCGCGCCGCCTGTGCGCTCCACTGGGCGGTGCGCGCTGGCGTCACCTTCACGACGTGACGTGTGGGGGTGGGGGGGGGGACAAGCGTCTAGGGTGAGAAAAACAGCCCCCAAGAGCATGTTCATTGGTGGGTGCTATTGTCCCGGCGGTGCTCTTCGTCAATCCGAATAGCACCGCAAAAAAAAGAAAAGAAAAAAAATCATTAACGATTGGGGAGCAACAGCACCCCAACAGCACCGCCGATGCTATTCGGCGCCAAGCGGTGCTATTCTGGGCCCAAATTGCAGCACTCGAGGCCAAATAGCAACCCCGAATAGCAACCGATGCTATTCGCGCAGAACATTGTAGTGCTGCCTCGATGCTATTCGGTGTAGGAATAGCACCCACCATTGTGAATGCATGCAGGGGAGCAATAGCACCAGTACTATTCAGCAAATGTCGCCTTAGTAAGGTGGCATGGCAGCCAATGAGAACCGCTCCTAGATAGCACCGCCGGTGCAAGAGCACTGACCGATGAAGAAGCTCTTAGGTACTTTCAGGAGCAATCATGGATGGATGCCACCGTCATTCACTCATCCAGCTTACCACCTTCCAAACACCGTTGTTGTGGTTGTTTAATTCATGATTCCATGGGGAGAGGATGGCGAGGAGAAAGGTCATGTGTGTGTCAAACAAACGCCGTTGGGTCCGCAGTCGGCAGTCGTTCAGGCTGCTAGTTGGGCAACAGGATCCCGACAAAAGGGGCCAAAAGGGGTAATGGCGGCGGCTTGCAATGTTCTGACAAATGCGGCAAAGACTTGACTTCTGGCGGATGGTCAGTGAAATTGTGATGGCTGGCCTGTGGCACGACACAGCCTGCACACCATACTGCTGTTCCTTGACAAATGCGCTTTTCTGTGTAGGGCACAGCATCACACCATGGCAGCAATCGGAAATCTCTGCTTGTGGCCTCAGCATTTCTTGATTCCCACAGGTGTCGGCAGCTGTAAGGTAGCCATTGCAGTCGGCTCCAAAAGTGCTGCTGTAACATATTGGAGCACAATGGCAACACACTCATGTTGCACGAATCGAGGCTGCACATCCACTGGCGAAAGAAACCTATTTCGCACAAGTGTTTCCTTGTTCACATAACACCAGAGAGCAACAAACCAAATATACCCTGTACATATCACTTACAGAAGACACTACATCGATTTTGTTACGCTTAGCATCAATTTGATGCCCGGGGGGTGGGGGAAGAGTCCAGACCTGTGACGATAAGAGATTGTGGAATTGCCACAAAATCGACATAAGCACAAAGATTCCCAAAACGCCACTGAAAAGTGGCAAGAAACTCACGACCTGTTCCAAAACCTCCCTTAAGCCCTCAATCTTCAAAGAAAGCCCCATAATGCCTCAAATGACAGCCACCATGGCTGCCCCCACCGTCTGCCGTGGATGTCCACATCCTCATTTTCACCCCATGACTGTCGCTGCAGCTTTGGCTGTTTTTTCATTGAACACACAATAAAATTGTACCACATGGTCAGCTAAGTCTGCTGAGTCATACTGACATCGGCATAAGGCTTGATGCTAACGGGGCTGGGGTGGAGTGTGGGTGTGGGTGTGTGGGTGGGGTGGGGGTGTGGGGGTGGGTGGGTGGGGGGGGGGGGGTCTGGGCTTAACGTCAAACTGACGCTAAGCATACAAAAATCGAAATAGCATCTCCTCTGAATGAAATTCGCGTGAGCACTGAATTGGGACCAACCCACGCATTTGGTATGCCGTGCGATATAGCATACATATGATGTATACATGATATGGCATGTACATTCGTACCTGTGGTGTTCTGGGCCACCGTTACCGATGAACATAGCAACAAGCAAGCTGCATCCCCACCTAAGTGGCTGTTCACAGTCGCAAGCACATTGCGAGGACAGCGCAGTCATAGGATGGTTGCTGTTGTTGCTGATGGTTCATTGTTTCCAGAAGCAACCCATACATCACCATCACCATGTCCCGCAATTTCTCACAATCGTTGTGATGCTCAACCTATTGCTGGGTTTACAATATTGGCCCCAGGCGGTGGGCAGCGAGGCAATGCATATCAGCTCAGGACCACGTGATGGCTTCAGGTTCCTTAGAAGGATGACAGGGAGCCAACCCCGACCAAGGCTAGGGCAGATTACGGCACGATCAAGAAAATGCAGAAAGAATGGGCAGGATGCTTATGCTGGGCCAAGCCACTCAATCGTCCACCCCACTTCCCACCCAACCCCAACCCATTCTGTGTTCCCCCACCCAAAGAGGCAACCACAATGTGGCACCACAGCGCACGGGATACTATAGTGTGATCCCAGTCAACGTAGCGCCAGAGCTATTCTGGCTAGCCAATTAACATCGTCCCAAAATTCACTTGATTGGGAAGGGAACATACTATCAATCGTGATGAGTAGAATCACACCTAACAGCTATGACTGCCAGACTTGATACGAGGCTAAATAGCTGCGATGAGTATCATCTTTTCAAAGTGTTGAGCCTCAGATCATGTGTGGCTGTTGATGCCATAAAGTCACCTCCAGAGGACAGCTGCTCCACTCATTGAGCAATTGATCTCTGAGTATCCAATATGGGAAGATTCTACATTCTGGCACACTGACTCTGCCAGCAACCTTCCTTAACCCCCCTTCAACACCAATCATTCACCTTGGAAACAGTTACAACACAGCCTGATGAGCCATCAGGTTCCAATGAGCTATCTGAATCTGGACCTGCTAACTCAGCCAGTATTGGCAACAGAGGTACTGCAGGCCGCCCACTGCTCAGCACCATTTGCTCAGGCTGCATTTGTTTGCTGGAAGCTATTCCCTCTCTGGTCATCAACATCACAGCAAGAGCTGCACCAATGCGACCATTCTGCCTGCACGGTGCTTCATACATGCAATACTACAGAATTCAACCAGAGTTGACAACGGGTGAGAAGGTTACGCATTCAAAGTACCTCCTCCACAATTCTCTCGCTTCTTGAATGAACAATGCAAAACTGGAACACTGGAGATGAAATTCAAGTGAGTGCAATGTTGTCAACCAGTAGATGCTGTTGGTAATTTTCCAGTCTCTGTTGGGTGTTGGCAGTGCCATGCTGACATGTTTCATTGTTTGGGACCAGCCCCTATTTCTAATCGGCGGCTAGTGGAGGATTAATTCAGCAGACACTATCAAGGCCAATGATTGAAGACTCAGCCATCAATGCACACTAAGCAAACACTGCATAGCATAGGGTTGGGAAAACAGGTGATGCGTTCAGAGCAGCCTCGGCACAAAACAGGAAGAATGATAAGCTGCCCAGAAAGTACTGCACATGCTGTGTGGAAAAATGGAGACTTACCAAATGAGGAAGCCTGAAGCCAATGTCGTTCAACACATCAACTGATCCTTAACCTTTTCTTCCATGAACAATCTTATTCGCCTACATTGTGTTTCCAATCCATAAGCAACCAAGAATCGGCTCAGTCCATGAGAAAAGGATCCCGATTGGCTGCTGCAGTGTTGCTGCACATATAGGTGCCAGATACCTGGCACAGAGAATGAAGCCTACGTGGAGTCCTTGTGCAAACGTAATGGTCACCTGCTATACAGTCAATGTCTCCAGTGACATGAGCTGCATCACAATGTTCAGAGAATCTGTGCACAGATTTTACCGGAATAAGACACACCTCTTCAACGCCAGATATTCTGCTACTGCGCAACACCAGAACCTGGCTACTTCTGTATTGGCTACAAGAACGATGAGGTCATCCACAGAAACTGAAGTTGCTTTCAACGCTCACCTTGCCTCGTGCAGAATCATTTGTTACTCCAATGCCCCCATGCTGGAAGCAAAGCAACATACTTGTCTTCATTCCGATCGACTCATCTTGTTGTACATATGCTCGGGTCTGATGAAGAAGCAAGCCAAGATCAGTGACCAGTGACACCAGCCAACACAGCCACTGTGCAGATGTGCAAAGCAAGACTGCAGCAGCCACATGAAAGGGAAATATGACAGCCAAGACTGTTAGACGCATTTGCATTGGTCCCAAGAACCAGATGATCTGACCCCCCGCAAGGTGAGGTGTCCAACTCACCTGTCCTAACATCTGTTGTCCTAAGCGGTCCTATTGGCAATGGAAGAGCCAATGCAGCAAATGCCTAGCGCCTGGCTGATGGGAGTGCCATCTGTCAGAAAGAGCTCACTGCGCTTGTGACTAAAGTCCAGTTAGACATGGCCAAGCAACCCTGCATTCGATTCAAGTGCTGTTGGATGCACCCAGCGAGAATGGCAAGCTGGACAAACCTGGAAAGGACCTCGCTGATTGACGTGTACTTGCAGCCACCCAAGTGGTGCAGTAGGCGACTTTGAAAGTATCTTCCCCTGATCAAGTCCATAACAGCTAAACAGTGTGCTGCCTGTGCTGCCCACACAGTTGACAAGGGGGTCTGTGCTTGCATTAGTGCACTTTGAGGTGCAAATGTCTTCATTCTTGAACTGCCAATGCTACCTATTGCTGGGGCAACGACTTCATACCATGCTTATCTTGGCAGCTCCTCAACAGAGCCAGTTGGGAAGCCTGGCAGGGGGTCTATGGTGACTAACGCACAAGGCTGATGCGTTGGAAGAGAGCAAAGGCAAGCAGCTCACGCACTACTTGCCAAAGCTGCCCTGGCACTTTCCAACAAAACAGAGGAATCTGGGCAGGCAACGAGCAGCCCACATGCTAACTGATACTTGACACGTGAACCTTTCACAGGTCCCAGTTAAAGAAAACAGCGCACAATATGCATGCTTTCAACCCAATTCAGCCATGCACATCCCCTCTTGGTTTTAAAACTATCAGCCGAGCCTCAACGGATCTCTGTGCGTGCATTGAAGTTGAGGTTCCACTACAACAGCACGATCAGCCTGGCAGAAATCATGTCCCTGAGTTCGCGTGGATTCCAATGGAATCGTGCCCAACACGCTTTCTTTCCCTGCTCCTGCATCATGGCGATCCACAAAATGACTGGAACATGGAGTCCTCTATGAAGCCACAAGATCTTCACACGGTCTAAAGACCTGGAACTGCGTTGCCATGTGTGTGCGCTACTACGTGGGGCTAGCGCAGAACAGCACACAAGTCCTGGGCCTAGTCTGAGTGTCCTTCCAGATTCTAACCAATAGTGCCTGCAGATGGACATAAGCCACAATGCACAAAATCAGGATGCCTACAGATCTGAACCAATCGAAGCTATGCAGGCATCTATGCCACTCACAGGAGCATGCAGAGCAAACAAGGGTGTCTGAAAGGTCAATCGCTGGAGGGAGAGGCCTGTGCATTTTGACAATCTGGTAAAGAACACACGTGCACGTTGGGCCAGAGACAGGGAACTGACAAGCTGACTCTGACTTCCTGAATCGCCTCTCTGGGCCCAGGCAAAAAGTCCCTGGCTCCATATGATACACTTACCACTGTTCAGTACGGCCTGTATCGACCGAACCCGCCACGAGCTGCTGGGGCGCGCCCGTAGCCACCTGGACCGCCACCCCCGCCATAGCCACCACCCATCGGACCCCCACCATAGCCGCCATACCCGCCATAGCCACTCAATGCTCCACCGCCATAAGACGCATAGGGGCTCATGCCACCCATACCTCCACCATAGGGCATCCCTCCATAGCCACCATCCATGCCTCCACCCCCCCGTCCTCCACCACGGCGTCCCCCAAACCCGCCAGGGCCCCCGTTTGAGTAGCTGCCACTGATGGGGCCGCTGCCACCCATTTGCTCGCGGGGAACGGCCCTCTTGAGGTCAACTGACTTTCCATTGGGGAGGGTGTGCATTTGCACCAGGCACTTTTCGACTGAGATCTCATCTTTGAATGTCACAAAGCCAAAGCCTCGAGAAGAGCCTTCCTTGGTGCGGACAATCTGTGTGGAATGGTTCGCAAAAGCAGCAGTGAGCCATCAGCAGGCAGACCCCATGGACAGAGTGCAACTGTCGCACAGCCATGTCAAAATGTAAGAGCTGTCTGTTGAACTCCAACATCAAGCAATTGCTTACCACAGCATCTTCAATTTCTCCATATGGGTCGAAGTACAGCTTAAAGTCTTGGTCCGAGAGTTCACCCTGTGGTGACAAAACGCTGTGTTAGTGTCATCAAATCCTTAAGCAAGAACAGATGAATATGAGAATACAACTAAGGTCAAACTGAAGCCATGAGCATAACAGCAGCACTGTGACACAGCCTTACATAGCCCAAAGCATGGAAGAGCAGTGAACTTTTCATTCCACAAAATGCAGTCTAACACTGTTTGCGGTGCGGCACAACAACGTGGGCTCACCGTTCCGCCCACGAACATCTTTTTCGTGAGGTTGCTGCTGCCACCGGCATTCTTGGGAACTGCTGCCTTGGCCTCAACACCTTTTCCCATAATGAAATGGTCGCGATGCTGTGCATTTGCCAAACAGCGAATCGCAGTCAGATTGGCAGGTAGACAACCACAGCGCACACTTCAACAATGAAGTCTATGAGAGTGGAACTGCAAAAACAGGGAGCCATAGTCTTGCTGTGCATTGGCGGTCAAGGGGGGAAAGGAGGGTGGAAGGGAGGAGCGAATAGGGTTTCCTACCTCAAGGAATTTCTGGGCACATGCTGGGTCCTCAAACGTGACAAAGCCAAACCCCCTGTTTTCCATCACAACAGAATCGCTCACAGCACCCCTGCGAAGGACGCAGGCACATTCCTCTCAGCAGCACTCCTGAAAGTCAAATTCTTCTGATGGGCGGCTGCCACAGCAAGAACCCAAAGGCAGCTGGCTGCCATGCCCTTGCTTTGTGACGGCAAGGCTGCATACTGACAGATCGGACATATGCAATCCAAAGATTTGAACAAGCTTCCAAACGGCCAAGCCCAAGGACTCACCATTGCTCACAATACTCCACAAGGTTCTCCTTTGTGGTCTGGTTGTCTAAGCCACCCAGGAACAGCTTGCCCTCCTGCTTCTCCATCAGCCTCCTGTTGCCCCTCGGAGGTCCACCGCCACCATAACCGCCATAACCCCCATCTGGAGATCCCATGCCTCGCCCGCGTCCCCCGTAGCCCATGCTGCCCCCACCCCCAGATGGCATACCCATCCCCCCCCCCATCCCCATGCCCATCCCGCCCCCCATGCCCATTCCACCACCATACTGTCCGCCGTACATGCTGAGGACCTGTGGGCAAAAAGCAGGGAGAACGACTAAGCCACATGCAAATGGGCCAAAATCACACACCACACCCACAGAACAACAGCAGCAATGGCCTGGACGTTGTGGACCCAAACCATTGGAAAAATGAAGCCAAAGCTAACCACCACGGGCTGCATGTTGATCAGAACCCTAGGGGCAAGCACTGGTGGAGAAAATTTCAAATCCAGAGAAAGCAGTATGCAGTGACTGACTGAAAGGCTCTCTGAACATTGTGCAAATACTGACCGCAGTGGGAGCACACAGGCTGTCGCATGGCCAACAATCTCTGGCCACTAGGCAATTCTCAACAGTACCCGATACGATTACGCCCCTGAAGCGGCAGCTGCAGCATTTATCCGACAATCACAGGCACTCTGCGAGGTGACATGCCTAAGGCCCGTGCACCCTCGCTTCAATCCGCGAAAGGGGCTTCCACAGCAGATCAGAAGCAAGCCTGCTCCCCACAACGGTCCCGCCGCCCAACAGGCGGCGCTCTGCGCGCCAACACTCCCGAAAGCACCACACCGCAGCGGCAGGCCCCGCTGTCACCCAGACCACGAAGGCCACAGCAGTGCCGCGCCCCAGCGCGTAAGACAGGCACGCAGATCGCCGATCAGCGCCGGGCTCAGACAAACTCCCCCCTCCAGCACCCCCACCCCAAACCCTCCCCCTCCCCCCTCACCTGGCCAGCACAGTTCCCCTCCCTCCCCACTCTCCCCACCCCACCCAACCCTGGACGTCCACAGTCAGGCGCATCCCACGTCACCAGCCCCTCTGATGCTCGGCCCCCTCAGATCAAAGGGATCAAAATCCGCGCCTCCCAGAGTGGCGCAGCCGGGCTACCACCCGACCCCCACCCCACTCCCATCCCCACCCCCCCTTGCCCTTGCGCCGGCCCCGCAAGCCATTCTGGGCGAGGGCATCGACAGGCCACGCTTGGCGTGCCCACCTCTGCGCCGCAGCAAGCCTCCCGCGGTGCTTTGAAGGCGTTTGACCGTCCGGTCGGCGCCCGGGCCGTCGCCTCCGGCGAACTGCCTGCCCGGGGCCCTCGGCGGTAGGCGGAGCGAAATTGCTTGTTGCGGGGGGCTGAGGCGAAGGGGTCGGGGAAGGGACCGCCGAGAGCCGTATGCAGTGGTTGCGGGCGGCGGGCCGGTTTTGATTTGCCTGGGGATACGGTGGGAGAAGGGGAGGGTGATGCAGGGTTGAGTCAGCTGGTGTTGACGGTGGCCGTTCAATCGACCTGCCCCACTTGACGTGGTGGCGCTTTTCGTTGGTTTTGACAGGCTACGATGCGTTTGCCAAAATGTCACTTGCCAAATTGTCATCACCATTTTTTACAGAACAAGGCAAGTTGCCACTGACCCACCTGCCCCCGCAGCCGCATGAAAAAATCCTTAGCTTTGGGGCAATGGCCCCTTTTTGGGCCGTTTTCCTGTTTTCTTGTACCCTTTTTGGTGAAGATACCTGCCTTCGTGGTGGTTAATGTACCCTGAATCCCGAAGACCAAAGTGCCGAAAAAGGGCTGAGGAACGAACGAAGAGACGGGGGGAGTAATGTGTTGGTTCTGGCCTGCAACGACGTGTCACTGGAGGCGCTGGCTGATGTCAGTGCCTGGTGCTTGACGAGGACGGTTCGGGGCCCGCGGCTGCTCTGGCCGGGGTAGCGAGCGGTGGCGGACGCAGCCGGGGAGCCGTGGGAAGTGCGACGCACTTCGCTTTCTCTCCCTCCCGCCCACAATCTCAGATGCGTTCATTGTTTAAGGGACATTCAGGAGATATCTGGCTCTTCCATTTCTGGGACACAAAAGGGGGGAGCCACCTTGCGACAGAACACCCAAGATGAACGTTTGGTAGTTGTGGGATGTTTACGAACGACGAACAGGAGTCGGTGTGGGCTGAATCTAGGGTGCGCAAGCCAGGCCCTGATCCCCGACTGTCGAAACAGAATACGATGCTTAGGATAAAGGGATGTCGGGGGGTGAGGTATTATCCGCCTGACGCCATGGAATTTGCTGCAGCATCGGCAAGGGTGCGGTGCCAAACAACCGGTGACGAACACCTCTGGACGGAATTGATTTTTTTTGGACGAAACATGCTCTCACCATGCGCGGCAGTAGATAACGTCCCCGCCGTTGTTGCGCCGCCGGTCGCACCTCGACTTGGTGGAGTTGTGTTGTGGACCGTTGCCGCCGCAAACGCCGGCCAGCCACCAGCGCGGAAGTCGACTGCCCGCTGAACACGCCTGCAGGAAACCATGGTGAGCCAAGCGCTCCGCAGATTGCTGCCAGCGGTGCCTCCGCGCTGCCTGGATTGAATGCCCAACGTGGCCGGTGGGCCCTCCCAGTTTTGAACCTCCTCGAGCGAACGGCACCACAAAGTATGTGATTTGCAGAACGGGGGTGTGTTGATAGTTATGATCTTGGTTTTGGGATGCGATGGTTACAATGAGACGTTGTTGATTGGCACCTCATAGCCCCTGGGGGACGGGGGCGGGATAAGAAAATTGCGAAGAGCGACCCTGTCTTTCCCCCTGGCTTCAACTCTGCCTTGCATCCCTCTCGCTTCACGCACCATGGTACAGGGATAAATTGATTTCAGGGGAGTGCGGGCCGAGCAGCAGGAATAGAGTGGGGATTGCAGCCAAGCCAGGTCAGCTGGCGTCAAATTTTGGGTTACCAATTCTAGCAAGGCGGCATGCGTCGTTCCAACTCTATCGTTGTCGCAATTTGTTTGGGCTGTGACCCGATTTAACTGTCGCTGGATGCTGGCTGGACAGGATCAACCAGAGAAGAAGGCTTTCGTCGTGAAGGTGGTCGGTAGGACAGGGTCACGCGGACAGGTGGGTGGCTTTGAGGACGTGGTCCACCTGCGGAATGCTGGCCTGCAACAAGGGTGTTGCATCCCACTAGTCCCATGTTCAGTATCTCATATATTATGTTGCAATGTGCAGTGCATCATACAGTCAACTGCAAGGGAGCAGATGCTCCTTTCGTGCATATCCCTTGCTGAATGGGAACAGGGAAATTGGTACTGTTGTCTGTTTAGCTCGCCTGCTTCTGAGGGACGTTTAGAAAGGGCACCAAACAGAAGCACACGCCTCGCAGCAGCAGAGGGAAGGTTTGCCTGACAGTATGTCAAGTCTGGCACATCCTTGCCCCTTACCCTTCTTCCAGCGGACTGGCAGAATTCGTACTGATTGTGGTAGCACTACACAACAATTCACAGGTCTCATGCCAATTGAAACACGTTGCCAGGTGTGTTATTTTGTAACTCTGGAAAACTGCCCAGATTGTTAAGGGCTGTGCGCTTGTGTTGAGCATCTTGTTGCTTGCTTGCAGGTGACACAGGTTCGCGTTCGCTTGTTGGACGAGTCTGAGAAAAATCGTCACATCATGAGAAATGTGAAGGGGCCTGTCCGGGAAGGTGCGCTTCAAAAGCTCACAAAGGCTGCCAATAACATCGACTGACTGTCCCAGTGCCTTGATGCATTCATGCAGCCCCAGCCTGCGTTTCACTGGTCAGGCTGGTTGGTACCTCCTATGAGGATGCTGATCCCTGCTCCAGCAACTGGAGCAACAGCAGTGCTCGAGACTCAGCCGACTCGAGTGAAGTGCACAGTGTCCATGTGCTGGGTCGTTAAACTTGCACATCTTTGGAAAGCTGCTGGTTTTGCTCAACAGCTTGTGAGCAAGTATTTGGAACTGTATCTGGCTGCCTGTTTGTAGGAAGTCACACCGTCAGTCAGCCATGGCTCGCAACCAACAAGCTTTGGGATTTGGTCTTCTCACAGAGTGTCCTTGTGTCCATCTCATTCTTGACCACACCTGCACGTTCAGTTAAATGATCAATACATTTGAAGATCTGACGAGAAACGTTTGCTCCCTGCAGGTGACATTCTCACGCTGTTGGAATCGGAGCGAGAGGCCAGGAGGCTGCGCTGACTGGTCGAGTTTGGAGCCATCTTGCCGCTGTTTCCTTTCATGTAACAGAATGACATTGATTCATGGCCTGCCCAGAGGCTCAGAGTATATTTGAGTGCCTGTGGCATTGGTGCACGTGGAGGACGGCCCCTCTTGTGCACATTAACTGCACTCAAAATGCATGCATTCTTGCGCAAAACATGTTGTCTGCGCTGAGGACCCCAGAACCAAAGTGGGATGCTGCTAGCTTCCAGAGGGCGCAACCCTGGCTGCCTTGTACAAACTTAGAGATTCTGTGACGGCCGCCAATAACTGTTGGCCAGCTGCGCATCCAACATCGCTTGAAGCGTTTGCACCTTACCTAGAGGCTACACAATGCTGACTGCTCACGAGAACAGCGCTGTCACAGCACACCCCCAATGCCGGGCTTTTTTTTTCTAATTCCACTGTATTACATGCTGATTGAAGCAAGGATCTCCCCTGCGAATCGTAAAGCACAACGAGACCCTTTTCCAGCAGAAGCCGATGTAGGGTCCCAAACAATGCGGGGTTGTATCTGCCAAACACTGGTTTATATCCTGGTTCTTTCTTCACTCACAAGTTGGCTGTCAGCCCACAAATGCATAAAGTGATCACAGCGTTGTTTGGATACATTTTTACCCGGTGTGCAGTACCCTACGATGCCTGCTGCACAGTTGGCCCTCAATCTCACTAGTGCAAAGGCCTCAATGCAGAGGCAAGTGGCAGTTCGCGCATACTGGCATATACGCAGACAAACAATGGACATGTATTCTTTGGGGCCATGTGGCGAAATAACCGGTGTTGGCTAGCACGCTGTAAATGGAAATCTCAACTCCATTCA